GAATAGTGAGTGGGAGGCCAGCAGGAAGGAGACTGGGCACTGGCTGTTGTTCTGTGGAACTCCTTTGGGTGTGGGAACTGAGGTTGCAAAGGTTGGTGTGGAGTTTGGTAACTCAAACGAGGCCAAGAGAGAAAGAACTGGATGGGGGAAGCACGTGACCTGCTGATCAGCTGCTGACCAGCACTAGGTGATGTGGCATGGCCTCAGTCTGTTCAGGGCTTCTCTAGAGGCTGTCCTCAGATGGGTCTGCCACTCTGAGAATCTGCCTTCCATGTGACAGCTTCCATGTCAGCGATCCATGTGACCTACAATGAACATCTACTTTCATATCTGTTCCTGTGAAGGGACTGTAGTTTTCCTGTGTAATTAGTGTTGTATTGAAACAAATTGTACTTGTAGATGGTTGGCCGTACAATGTAATATGGAACTTGGAAATCCTCATGCCATATTTGTCATCTCAGTGGCATTCATTGTGACAAGGTTTAAGTGCTAAAGTTTTGTACAGTGTTTTGCCAGTTTCAGTGTTGTATTGGAACCTGTTCTGAAATATTTTTTAAAAAGTTAACAGTTGAGAATAAATGAGGCTGTTTACCTTAGTGGGCCAGTGCTTGCCCTTGGGGCTCAGACAGACCTGGATTTGCTCCTGGCCTTGTCACTGCATAACTGTGTGATGGTGGGCAAGGTTGTAATCTTTCAGAGCCTTGGGGCCTTTGTCTCTGAAGCTGAGGAGTTTGGGAGAGTTGGAGTTGGTGCCAGGTGCAGACAGGTGTTTTCCAGGGATTAGTGCTGGTGGCTTGTGCTGGGAAGAATAGTGGTCTGGTTTCCTTCTCAAGCCATCTGTGAATAGTGGTTCTGTTGGGACTGAAGGTCAGGTGACCTCCAGGATGGCTCCAGAGCCTTAGGTAGGAGTAGGTCACAGTGACTGAGCCAGAAGGACTCGTTTAGGACAGATCTCTACTCTGCTCTCTCCACCTCTATCCCAGAATCCTCCATTTTTCCTTTATATTCGTAAGAAATAAATACCTATTGTAGTTCTGGGGGTTGAGCACCCCAGAGTACCATGTGGTCTGGGGCACAGACACGTCAAAAGACAAATGCAGCGTGTGTGGTGGTGTGTGCAGCATACAGCCTCATGGGGCTGGCACCCAAGCTTGGATCCTGCAGGGCTGTGCGTGGCTCCTAGGGGAGCCAGTGGCGTGTGGTGCCTGGCATTGCCTGGCTTGCTTTGATGTGGATTCAGAGCTTCTGAGGGGAGAGGGAGTGTCAACCGGCCACGTGTACATGGGAAGTGAGGATTTGCTGATTTTCAAAAGCAAGGTTCTTGAAGGTAGTTTAGTATTCTAGAAGTGACTCTCGCTGGGGTTAGACACCTCCTTCAGGGTAGTAAGTGAAGCTGGCAAGGCTGGGACACTGGGCAGGGAGTCCAGCCTGTCGCCAGCTGACCAGCTGCTTCCTGGGCCCTCACAGGGGTCCCTGCCCCACCTCCTGGCCTTCCATAGCTCTCCTAAGAGGAGATGGAATTCCATGGGAAGCCAGTGGCTTTCAGCAAAATGACCAGAAACAAAGCAGTGTTAAAGAGGTTCAAGGACACTCCTGTTCCTGCTCCTGCTGTGGAAGTTGCTGGTTATAGCAAATTCAAAAGAATTTAAGATTTTTTTTTGTGTGTGAGCTTGTGGGTGTTTTCTTCAGAGCTTTGTTTTTTGTTTCTCTTTGGTCTGATATGTTGACTTTTTACTCCTGTCTGTTTTTCCCTAAGTCTTTACTTGGGAAGCTCAAATAACTCAGTGTAGAATACAGACATTTCTGGGTACTCTGCTCAGTGGCCTGGTATTCCAGCCACACTTGTGGGGTGGACTTTCGTAATTTTGCCTGTACATATTCACTTCAGGTAGCAGAGTTTATAATAAACTTTAAGACCAAAATTTATGCTTCCTCAAAAATAACCATTATATTTTATTTTATATGTAATGCCTTTATTCTCTGGTTCTGTACTATGATTATAGTGCTTTTAAATGTTAGTATCAATTTAATTTTAAGAATGATTTTAGACTAGGCCATTCTGGTAGCTTGGCCTTCAATCTGGTAAGAAATCTACAGTCATCCAGCTCAAATGTGTTTGTGCTATCAGACATTTATATTACTTTAATTTTTTTTTTTTTTTGCGGGACTGGAGTTTGAATTCAGGTCGTATACCTGGAGCCACTCCACGAGCCCTTTTTTTTTTTTAATGAAGGGTTTTTTTTCAGGGTAGGGTCGCTTGAGCTATTTGCCCAGGCTGCTTTGAACCTCGATCCTCCTGATCTCTACTTCCTGAGTCACTAGGATTACAGATGTGAGTCACCAGTGCTCAGCCTAAAACTTTTATAAAGTAGTTTTAAAGAACTGTTTGCAGTTGGGTGCTGATGGTTCATGCCTGTAATCCTGGCTACTCAGGAGGCAGAGATCAGGAGGATTGTGGTCTGAAGCCAGCTTGGGCAAATATTTCAAGAGACCCCATCTCGAAAATATCCAACACACACACACAAATGAGGGCTGGCTGAGTGGCTCAAGTGGTAAATGTCTGCCTAGCAGGCATGAGGTCCTGAGTTCAAAATCCAGTGCCAACACTTTACCTTACTTAAATATCACTGCAAAAACAGCCTTGGGTTTCTGGCTTATCAGAAAAGCATAGCATTTTAGGCACTGTGGATTTCCTGAGCGTTGACTCCTGTCTGTTGCCTCATTTTAAATGATACCTTTACCTACTTCTGTCATATGCTTAGGACCTGAAGTACTTTGATGCCAGATGAGGTTTTAAATGTGCTGTGCAGTAGCCTGGAAAAACTCTTAGTCATGGCTCCTGAATAAGAGATTAACAATTTTCTGTAATTAACCATAACTACTAATAGAAGAGTTTCACTAATGCCCTAAGTAGAAACAGTGACTTAAATTTACAAGAGAAGAGTCATGTGTTGAGAGCCCTTTCTTTTCTCCCTGTAATCTGCAGGACAGCCCACCTGGCTCCGACCTCATCCAACTTCCTTTCCTATGAGTGCCACTCACCGTCCTCAGGACCTCATAGTAGCTAATGGTTTGTTCACTGGGAATATTCTTCCTGTGGTATTTCCCCCAGGGCTGCTCCTATTTGTCAACCATGTCTCAGGGCAAATGCCAGCTGGAGGACTTCGAAGTCTAAGCTACTTGTGCTGGCCTTCCCTACCATGCTCTGCTAGCTTGTTTTCATCAGTGTGCAATAGCAGGTGAAATTGTCCCGTGCAGCTGTTTACTTACTTTCTGTCCTTTCCACTGGGATATACTTTTCCAAGAGGCGGGGAGCTTTTTGTCTGTTTGGTTCATTGCTGTACTCTCCTTGTCTCCATCTACACCAGTAAGTACTTAAGAAATGCTGCAGCTGGGTGTGGTGGTGCACACCTGCAATCTCAGTACTGGGAGACTGGGGTGGGGATGGGGATGGGGGAGATGAGAGTTGGCAGTCAGCAGAACTGTGTAAAAAAAAAAAAACAAATCAAAACAACTCATGAAACAAGCAAATAAAGGTTAATGAAAGAGGAAACAGTCTTTCCTGATGAATGTCTGTGCTGGGTACTTCTTGGGTTGGTATTTCACATTTAATCCTCCTGTCTCCCTAAGATAACTAACCTGTTACTGATGAAGGAGCTGAGCTGCGTAGTTACTGCTTTAAAGTCTGACATAACCCTATGGGCAGGTACTTAACAACTAACCTGTTTTTCTGGTTTGTAGCAGTTTAGTGGCCACACCTTCCACGGGACAATCTGCCACTTGAGTGCTTATGTGTGCACTCTTGGCTTCTGGGCAGGTTTCTGATTGGTGCCCAGACCTAGGTTCAGAGGACAGGGCACCTTGACAGCCAGTAATGTCAAAACGGTTGTTGTGGCTGCTGCATGGCTAAGTGGGGCTGCCTGGATGTTCTGGGTTAAGTCTTTGCCCAGATGCACCCCACGTGGAAAATGGCAGGCTACCTGCCATTGACTGGGTCCCACTGAAGGTGGTAAGTTGCTGGTGGTGAGCAGTCTCACTCCAGGCCCTCTCACCAATGCCTCTGGGTAGGTCTCACCTAAGCAATTTTTTCCTTTTTGTGCTAGTGGGGTTTGAACTCAGGGCCTACACCTTGAGCCACTCCTAGCCCTTTTTTTGTAATTTTTTTTCGAGATAGAGTCTTACGAGCTATTTGCCTGGGTTGGCTTCGAACTGCAGTCCTCCTGCTCTCTGAGAGGTAGGATTACAGGTGTGAGTGACAAGTGCCTGGCTCACCTCAGCAGTTTTGACTTACCTTCTCTCCTCTCCCTTCATCAGTACTATTAAATTAAAATTAATCAGGTGTCTTTTTAACGTCTCTTCCCTTTCTCTTTCTAACCTTGCTGAGGGAATGGTCCCATAGTACAAAATGGACAAAACACTCTCCCAGGGAAGAGTAGAGGGCTGAGAATAATTGCCTGGGCAGAACCAGCAAACCACGTGGGATAGTTGATTGATTAGCAGTTACTTGGCATCTGCCTTGTGGAGGCTTGAGCAGATGGTAAGCAGAGCCTGTCTGATTTTGAGTCATTTGACTCTTCACACAGCTATCATGTCAGTTTAGGTCTGAACTGTAGTTGTAACAGGTAAGACCAGAAGCAGGACTGACTGTTCCATTCCTTAACTAGTTGTTGTGTTTTTTTTTTTTTTCTTTTAAGTAAAATAGAGAATAAAATCTTAAGAGGTAAAAACAATTCCTTGGGTTTTCAGCATTTTGGGGAAAGGGTGCATCTTACCAGGGTGTGATTTTTGAGCACTGATCTGAGCTAATATTCTTAAATCAATGATAGGATTTTAGTGTTTTGGTCATTGTTAGGTCCTGAGGTGGCTTCAGAGTATTTTGGCTACTGAAAATGTGTCTTCTAGTTTGTAGAAGTTGAAGCAAATATGGCTTGGATGTAAAACTAGAGAGCAGTTTAATTATTGGCAAATCAATGACAATGACATGTTTTCTTCCTTTCTAGTTATACATGGGAAGCTGTTGATACCAAAAATAACAGAGTTTATAAAATCAACATCTGTGGAAATGTGAATATTGTCGAGTGTGGGCCATCAAGCGCTGTTTGTGTGTACGACTTGAAGACAGACAAGTATAAATCAGTGGGTAAGTAAAATGACTTGGGTTCCTGGATGGGCATTATGATCCCAGGTTTGCAAAATGGCCTTATGTGTATAGTTAAATGGATTTAGTATGTATACAGTTGTACATGTTTGTAACATGTTTTGTAATAGTTAAAAGCAATAACAATTTGTCCAGTGTCAATTGGATAGCATGTAGACAGTAATTGTAGTTTTTGGTAGAGGGGCTTAAACTCAGGGCCTACACCTTGAACTACTTTACCAGCCTTTTTCTTTTTTTTTGTAAAGGATTTTTTTGAGACAGGGTCTCATAAACTATTTGCCCAGGCTGGTTTCGAACTGTGATCCTCCTGCTCTGTGCCTCCTGAGTAGCTAGGATTATAGGCGTGAGCTACGTGCGAGGACACCCACGTTTTCTTAAACTGCCTTTACTTTCGAATGGCCTCATCTGCACACTCATCTGCACTGTTTTCCCGGAGAAGCTCACAGTCAAACATTGAACCTCCCAGTGGGTCATTGACGTAGAAAAGATGGATATACGTGTTTATGGCGGAGCAGCTGATGCTGAGCCAGGACCCTTCTTGTGCTGCACTTTTCAAGACGCCTGGCTCGGGGTGGGAGGAGGGACAGGAGACCTGTGAGGGCCCCCAAAATTCCGCCAGGCGTCGCCCTTCTCCCAGCGCGCGCGCGGCCTCCCGCTGCTCTGCCGCCTCCAGAGGGCGCTGCTCCCGCAGCCATGGATCCGGGCGTGGAGGTGCCGCCTCCAGGCCCCCGGGCCTCCTATGTCCAGCCCCACGTACCCTCGCCCCGCCTCGGACCTGCCACAGCGGAGGGGAGGCCGGGAGGTGTCTGGAGTCCGCCTGCATGCTTTGGTCGGGTGTTCCAGGCGGAGAACGCGCTCTGGCAGGCTTTGCGCATGCGCTGCCGCTCTGGACAGGACTGAGTGGTGGGCCGTGGGCATCGCCGTGAGCCGCGGGCATGGCCGGAGCGTGGGCGTCGCCGAGCTTCGGGCATTTCCGTGCCGCGGGCATCGCAGGGCCGCGGGCACCGCTGAGCTTCGGGCATTTCCGTGCCGCGGGCATCGCAGGGCCGTGGGCATCGCCGAGCTTCGGGCATTTCTATGCCGCGGGCATCGCAGGGCTGTGGGCATCGCCGAGCTTCGGGCATTTCTGTGCCGCGGGCATCGCAGGGCTGTGGGCATCGCCGAGCTTCGGGCATTTCCGTGCCGCGGGCATCGCAGGGCCGCCGGTTCCCGTTTGCTCCGCTGATTTCCTGGGGCCGGAAGACCGAGCCCAGAGCCAAGGCTCCTCCGCGGCGGCCTCGCTTCCCGGCCCGTTTGTTTGCATTTTGTTTTTGACACGGAATCCTTCTTTCTCAGCTGTTCAAACATCTGGGATTATAGGGATGCAGCACCATTCATGGCTTCAGGAGACGAACCGTTTTCTTTCTGAAAGAGTTCCTTGTTTTGTGCTGGGTGCTAGTGGCTCACGCCTGCAATCCCAACTACTCAGAAGACAGAGATCAGGAGGATCGTAGTGCAAAGGCAGCCCGGGGAAAATAGTTTGTGAAACCCTATCTCAAAAGAAGCCCTTCATAAAAAAGGCTGATGGAATGGCTCAAACCGGAAGACTGCCTGCCTGCCTAGCAAGAGTGAGGTCCTGAGTAAAGTATTCCTCTTGTAACTTTTTGGGACTTAAAGGATAACAGTAACCATATATTGTCAAAAAAACAGCCCCCTTGTTGTCATTCACAGTGTTTATTTCTTCTGACTGCTGCAATATTTTATCGTGTGGATCTCCCAAGTTACTTTATCCACTCCACTGTTCATGGGCCTTTGGGTTGTTTCCAGGTTCTTGCTGTTGTGAAGAGCTGGATACGCTGACATTTCATGTGTGTGTGTATGCATATGTATGTATGTATGTATGTGTGCGTGTGTGTATGTGTGTGTGTATGTATAATGGAGAATGGACTAGCTAAGTCATAGGGTACAAGAATGTCCAATTTTAGGATAGAATACCATGCTGATTTAAGCACTGGTTGTGCTAATTTATCCTTTGTCCAGACCTTGGCTCTTCCAATCCTGGGAGTTTAATTTTTGCCAACTGGAAGGCTGTACATGGGATGTAGTTGTGGTCTTGATTTGTAGTTCCTTGGTCACTGGTGTTAAACATCTTTTCACATGTGAACATACGGTTTTTCTTGTTTGAACATACCTTGTTCATTTTATGCTGGGTTACCTATTGGTAATTGTCTCTCTAGACGCTTTAGAATTTTCTCTTTGCCTTTGATGTCAAAACTCACCATCATGCATTTCAGTGTGGGGTTTCCTTTTCTGTCCTCTTTGGCATGCTGTGTGTGCTCTTAGTCCTAGGTAATTCATTGTTCATGCCTGGAATTATAAAATTTGTTATTTTTTGGATGTGATTCTGTGTTTGTAAACTTGATGGAAGTTCTTTGCCAGTTCTGTGTAGCTCCTGGTTTATAATTTATTTCTCTTTTAAGCAGTTTTTTTTTTCAAATACAAACTTTTGAGTAAGTCAAGTTTATCAGTCTTTTCTATTGGTAGTTGATGTTTTTGAGTCTTAATAATTTTTACTACGTTAGGATATAAATGTATTTCTTGGTATGGTGGTGCATCACTGTAATCACACCTACATGGGAGAATGACAGTTTGAGGCCAGCACGGGCAAAAAAAGTTAGCAGAGACCCTATTTTGGTGCAGATTGGCACTGCGAGGGAAAAATGCAAAATCCTACCTGGAAAATAACTAAAATGCGAAAGGGCTGAGGCAGGTGGAAGAGCGCTTGCCTTGCAAGTGTGAGGCCGAGGTCATACCCAGTCCTGAAAAACAACAGCAACAACAAGTATTAAAAGATATTCTTCACGCGGGCATGGTACAGGCCCGTAAACGCTGCACTCTGGAGTTGAGGCAGGAGGATCTTGAGTACAAGAACAGCCTGAGCTATGTACTGAGTTTCAAGGGCAGCCAGGGTACGTAGTAAGACTGTCTGAAAACATAACAAAGTGAAATTTAAATCATAGTTGAGAGTGATTAGTGTCTTAAAACACGGGATAACAGGTTTTTGGGAAGTTTTAAAGTTTTGTTTTTGGTGTTTACATCTTTAATTCATTTAGAGTTGAGCTTTGTGTATGGGGGTAGGTAGGAATCTGATTTTCTCTTCCGTGTTCCACTATTGAATATGTCTCCTTCCCCACTGGTCTCTTGCATTTGTTTTATCTTAGTCCAGGTTGTCTCTGTGCTCTTTCTTGTAGTCTGTTATCTCTCTCCTACTTTGTCCATGTATCTTCTCCTGTACAACGCCCATCATGTTGATTTTATGTAGACTTTTAATTCTGAATTATTATATTGTCTCAGATAACAGGGTCACCCTACTATGGATCTTCTAAGGAATTTTGATGAGAAGTAATGAAGCACCAGCTGAGTTATATATTCTGACTTACGGCTGTAAACGCTGGGGGCTGGGGGAGTGGCTCAAGTGGTAAAGCAGCTGCCTAGCAGGTGTGAGGCCCTAAGTTCAAGCCCCTGTACTGCTAACAAAGCAAAACAAAACAAAATACCATGTTGGCACAAGATGGATGGGGAGGGTGATGGACAGGGACAAGCAGTGGCAGAGGCTTGGGGACCAAATAGGCTGTGGCAAGAGAGCAGGTGAGAGGGGGCAGTGTTGTCAGTGCCAGCAGACATGGAGGAATGTGGATGGGTTTGATGGAGGGACAAGCAGCAGAACTTTCTGATGTGCTGAGTGTAGCAGTCAAGGGAAAGATAGGATTGAAGGCCTGAACAGCTAGGGTGTGTGGAGGTCCTGTTCCCGAGATGGGAAATTCTGGGGCAGGGACCATTAAGTTTGTATGTAAGCTTTTCTGGTAAATTGCAGTGTCTCTTTTGGTTTATTTATCCCTGGAAATAACCTTATGATTTTGTATGTTTCATGGCCTGTTCATCCTCTTTCCTCTCTAAATAGGTGACTCTCTTTTGAAAAGTGCAACCAGATCACTTCTGGAATTCAATACGACAGTGGCCTGTCAGGACACAGGCAGAGACCACAGGGTCCAGAGCAGCATTACCTTCCTGTGTGGGAAAACTCTGGTGAGTCTGCACAGGTCCCTTTCAGTGTGTTTCCATTGTTGAGAATACCTGCCCTGCCAGGCACTCGTGACTTGTGCCTGAAATCTTAGTTACTTGGGAGGCTGAGTTCTGGGTCAGCCTGGGCAAATGGTTCACAAGACCTCATGACCAATAACCAGAGCAAAATGGGCTGGAGTTGTGGCTCAAGCAGTAGAGCACCTACTTCGCAAGGGCCAAGCCCTGAGTTCAAATCCCCGTCTTACCAAAAAAGAAAAAGAAAAACGTCTGTCCCTTTTTGCTATAGAGGTGATCCAGGAATAATAAGTGGCCCACATTAAAATCCAAGTAAGTAAAATCCCTACCAAATCACCACCATCATCAAAAACCAGTAAACGAACAAATCCCAAACTTACAGTTTCAACTTTAAGTGAAGTTTGAGTCACAGTTGAGAGTGATTAGTGTCTTAAAACTCAAAATACTGGGTAATATTTATGTTGCAGGCATAACTTCTTTCTCAAACCTCATCTCCTGGCATTTATTTGTTTATTTATTTACTTAATTATTTTAGATACTGGGTCTCAGACTTCCTAGGCGAGCACTCTGCCACTCTGCCAGCCCCATGTGTTCAGCTTTTCAAAGCAGTTTTTTCCCTTCCTCATTTACATGAAGTTGGAGACCAGTTGTCTGTTCAGAAGCCTGGCCAGCGGGTGATGGGTTTCGAGCTCTTTGGCTATTCCCCTATGTTGAGTGAAGCATGCTGTTTGTTCCTGCTCTGGCCATGTTGGTTATGACTTGCTGGCTTTTGGAAAGGGACTTCAGTGAATAACTGCTAGCTGACAGGAGGATAAATTGCTCTACAAGTCCTCTGATTGTTTTTGAGTGAGAGTACAAACCTAAATGTTGAGAAAAGTCAGGATGGGAGGAACTCGTGGCTCCCAAATCACTTCACAATGCCCTTTCAGAACTTGGCTGCAACGTCCCTCTTAGAGACTTGGAAAGTGGAACTCACAGTGTTAATTTTGGATCAGCATACGTTGGAATCCTAGAAAAGAATCTGTGGCAGCATGAAACTCGAAGGTTTATGTGACAGATTAAGGCAGCTGCTGTTTTATTTTAACTAATATCCTTAAGAATTCTGTGTTTACCACGTAAGAAACAGAATTGTGAAGGAGAATTCCTTGGATTTGCATATGGGAATGCAGAGGTTAATCCCTGCTGTGTGGACGGATGTGGTGTTCACCAGTCTGGAGCCAGCCCTGACTGGAAGGGCTGCCTCGAGGGTGGGGTCTGTAGGGTGTACAGACTCGCAGATGCATGGGGCCTCCTTGGGGCCTCCTTGGGGCCTCCTCACAGGAAGCCTGAGGTCACACTTTCTGGCTTTGATTTTGTTGGCATTTGGTCCAGAGAACGTTTGGAGTTTGAGGGAAGACTTGTTCACTTCCTGTGTGCTGTATGTGCATAGTTGGGGAAGTGGAACAGTTCTGGACTAGTTTACTCAAATTCAAACAGGAGTTTGGAGACCTTTTCCCTCTGAATTTATCTGTTTGTGGAGCTCTTAATTTTATTAGCGTAATAGTTGTACAGGGGAATATATTGTGATAGTTACATGTGTGCTTAAAGTATACCTTAGCTTTACCCCCTCCATGGTTCTCTCTTTTTCCCCCTCCCCTCTTAGAACAATTTCAGCAGGTTTCATTCTTGTATTTTCATATGTGAATAACAGATACATCTACCATATTCACCCTCACTCACCCTTTCCTTATGCCCACCCCCACTGGGTCCCACCCCTGGAAGAGACCAGTTTTACCTTCTGCTGGGTTGGGAGCCTCTTGAGCTTGTTTAAGTAAAGCCGTTGTGTCCCTCTGTTCTCCTTGCTGTTTCTTTATTTTCATTGGCCTTCACTGTGTTCTCAGTTAAAAAAAGAAACTTTATAATATGTAGTACAGTGACTTACTTTAACTTTTTTTTTTTTTTTTTTAAATAGGGAACTCCTGAATTTGTAACTGCCACAGAATGTGTGCATTACTTTGAGTGGAGGACTACTTCAGCCTGCAAGAAGGACATTTTTAAAGCTAATAAAGAGGTAACAGGAGAATTTAAGATGATATGATTACAAAGCAGTCAACTCTGGGGACCGTTAAGATTTATATACTGATTCTAGCCTTTTGGGGTGAAAATCTTTTAGTTTTCAGGCTCCATTTGAGCAGAAATGCCATGGAATTTAATTGTGAAAAGTTGTCTGGATGGCTTTTATTTTTAGCACAGGGCATTTAAAATGTCATATTTGGTTTAAAGCCCTGTAAACTAGGTGATATAGTTGGGTTTGGGTTTTGATTATTTACTTCACCTACTGGAGCCATCACACACTGACCACTTTGTCTCCTTGTTACCTGGCTTCCTGCTTGTGGTAAACCCCACTGTGATGATTCCCCACTGCCTGTTTTCATTGCTAAGTCTTTCTCCTCAGCCTTCAGGTGGCTTCCAGATGTGCTGTGAGTCCAGGCCAGGTGCCTTTACCTTTTACCAGTTCATCTTAGAAGCAAGATTACTGTTACTGTTATTTCCACTGTTTCTCAGTTTTATTTCAATAATATTACTTAGCCAAATCATTCCCTCTTTCTTCCTCCCTCCACTTGCCTCAACTATATCGTGTACAACATGGTGTTTTGAAATATGTATACATTGTGGAATGGCAAATTCAAGCTGATTGAACTTTTTTTTGTGATGAGAACACTTGGAATGGAATCGGTGACTTTAAGACATATGCCTTGTTATTCATTTAGTCACCATGCTGAACAGTGGATCTATTGGTCAAGTCATCCTTGGTGATGGGTAAAGTCCATTCCTCAACCCTGTTCTCTACCATTGGCTCTCCCCTGATTTTCCTTGGCTAAGGGAAAGAGTGGAGGCACCCCATCCCTCCCAGACCCCCACAGGTCATGTTCTGTTCAGGTATCTAATTATTTTTCTGTTCTCCATTAGTTTTCTATTTCTTCATGGATTGGCTCTAGAGACTGTTGAGATCTAGGAACCAACGAATGGTAGTGCTCACAGACTTTGAATGGCGGCCTTGTACCATGTAGTTTAAGATAGGCAAAAAGATTTTTGTTTTTGAAACATTGCGTTACAAATAATAAATTTTCACTGATCTTTCAAATGTGACCATATGTTAAAGAAAAGGCAGTCTGAAGTGGAAGAGGCAAAATGTTGCCTCCCAGAAAAAGCTATGAAAAATGTTTAATGGAAAAAAAAAGTTGAAAGTGGAAAGGGTTAAGGCTGATACTTGGGGAGTGATATAAAATTTAAACTTGAGGTTTGAAAACTATAGCTGTTGATAATACATCATTAGTTGTAGGAGAAGCATCTCAACACAAAAAGTCCACGTGCTGCGGGAAGGGCAGTCTTCCTAAGGTGTCCAGTTGACTGTACCCCTCTGCTCTCCCTTGTACCCCAGACCTCTCTCAGCTTCACAGATGCTCCTCGGGGCTTGATTCTTAGGTTTTGTTTTACCTGAGTGTCCAAAGTGACAATTGTGTCTTCTGTCATCTAGGATATAATTACTTTCCAGAATAAGCAACTTGTTTTCTGTAGGCAAGAACTCACAAACAGCCCATAAGCCACATCCGGCCCTTTCTTGATCAGCCCCAGAGCTAAGAATGTTGTTTACATTACAGGATTATCACTGCTGAAATATGCAACCCACCAAGCCTAAAGCATTTGCTGTGTGGCCCTTGACAGAAGCTGATCACTGTTCGTGTGCCTTTAGGGCAGGAGTGGGGAAGATGTGCCTGTATTTTCTCAAACTGAGAAAGCTGATCTGAAGACACATGAGAAATGTTAGTAATTTGTTCTCAGTTACTGTTTCTTTAGGTCTGGTTGGTAGCTAGGGGTTTATTCAGGTTTTTTTTTTTTTTAAATCTTTTTCTTTTTGGTCCTAGGATAGAACTCGGGGCCTTGCTAGACAACTCTCTACCTCTGAGCTCCATCCCAGCCTGAGTCAGTTTTTATTTATTGAGTCTGTTGTAAGCTAAGCAGTCAAAATTCATTAAGTTCTTTTTTTTTTTTTTTGGCGGCCTTAGGGTTTGAACTTACGGCCGCATGTTTGCTAGGCAGGGTCTCTTAATGCATGAATCACTCTGCCAGCCCAAAGAATTCATTAAGTTTTGAAATGGTTCTTGCTTTCAAGGACCCTGTAGCCTAATAGTATGGGGGATGTGTCCACATTCACTAAGTCAGTTTCTTTCTACTTAGAAGAGATTAATTAGATGGACAGAAGAGTGTATTGATGGCTGAAATGCAGGACTATCATCAGTAGCAGACTGTGATAAAGTACATGCCCCTTTTCTGTCTTCAGTGTAATGTGACTACTAGACTGTATAGGCTACAGGATGAGAAGTTCAAAAATATATTAAAGGTTTTATGTAGTTGTAAACACTCATCATCCTTGAAAATTGTTTAGTGTCAAAATAGTCTTTGTCTCTCCACCTATTGTTGTCTTCTCATTTGCTTTGTTTTGCTCTGTCAAATGTAGGATGATGTTAGGATTAGAGATCATGGCAGTTCCAAACAGTACCTCTTAAAACTACGGTTGTGCTTGTTCGTGTGATTCTGGGAGGGGTTTTAAAGATAATTTTTCTTTAAGACATTGTGTATGTATGTCCCATCCCCTAGTGGTCTTTGGCACATAGAAATTGCAGTACTGGCATGCTCATGGGCTTGCTGGAGTTTTGTAAGTAAGATGAACAGACATAAAAGCAACAACAGCCACGGTAATGCGGTATGCGGGGTGTTGAAGCTGGCGGTGATCCCCTTTCCCCAGCTGCGATGTTCCCGGTCTCATCAGCGTTTCCCTTGCTCTGTGCAGTGTAGCAGGAAGTAGGAGACATTCCTGGCAGTCCTGACTGATTTCTTTTTCCACCCTCACTCCAGTTCTATGAGTGCTATCAGGTGAGTCTTCTCTCCCCTCCTCGAATGGCAAGGTAGCCTGAATGTGGAATGTGCCAGCATTGGAAGCCTGGAGAGCTTCCCACCTCGAGTCCTCTCAATGTCCTGGTGACACAGAACTAGTCTCAGAATGACGGGTTCTTTGCCATCATCTTTCCGACTTGCTGTCTTGTTCCCATTTCTTTACAGACTTTCATTTCACTGGCCCATTCTCTTTCCTCCCAGCCAGACAGCCAAGTGTTCCTCAGCTAATGGTTCTGTGTCATTTTGCTGTGGGATGTCAAGCTTTGCATTTGTGGATTAGGGTTATTTAGGGTTGTTTTTCACTGCAACCCAGTTGGAGCCTGCAGTAGTAACCTTTTCTTTTTATTGCTTTTCTGTGGGAGTGTGGTATGCAGCTGCGTTTCTACGTGCCCAACCTCCTCCCTTATCAGGGAATTCCTTGGGTCTGAGAAGCTTGTCAGGCGGTAGGAGGCTCTGCTTTACAGATCTAGTTGACAGGAATTTATGTGCCCCTCAGGCTTTGCACTGTTTGATAGGCTCTCTGAGTTCTCTGTGAAATCTCTGGAATCAGGCCTGGACAAAAGGTCAGGGCTAAAGCTTTCCTGTAGAGTTGATAGCATCTTTCTAAGAAAAACTTGAAAGCTAAATATTAAGCAGTTAACTTTTGTACCCAGACCCAGCTTGTGAATTGCGTCAGTCCATGAGATAAAACTTTAAGAAGTGTTTTGTGGAAAGTAATCAAGCTAACTCCTTTGAAATGCTTGCAGAGGACATGAGACTATTCCTTGGACAATGAAAATGATTCCAATATATTATTTTGGAAATAAATTTTCTGTGGGTATTTCAAAGAAAGTCTTTTCAGTCAGTGATGTCGTTTTTTTTGGCACTCTGAAAATTGTTTAATGCAGAGTGGCTTCTTAGATACACAGACGTACTTACGTCCATGGTCTCATTGTTCACTGCAGGCCAGACATGGCTAAGTGCTTTTACTTTTATTTTTATTAGATTATGTTTGTTGTACAGGGGGGATTCATTGTGACAATTATGATTAGCTTTACATCGTGCATTGGCTAGATTGCCCCCTCCATCTTCCTCATCCCCCCACTCCCACAAACTCCTCCCTGCCCCACTCAAAGCAGTTGCAAGAGGTTTCATTGTTTTGTTTCATGTATGTATGTGTAGCCCATCAACCATATTCCCTTACCACCTTCTCCTCCATTAACCCTCCCTCTCCCTCAACCCCCCCCACCCCCATCCCCCCCCACTGTACTGTTTTACGGTCTTTCACTTTTTAAACCCAAAGTCATTGTTCAAAGTGGGTTTTCATCGTATCCCAACTGTGAGTGCACTTTACTCTGGTCATTCAACTCCCTCCGTTACTCTCCCTTACCCCTTCCTTCCCACCCTCACTATTTAACAGTTTTCAATACATGCTGTTATGTTCCCCACCTGCATAAGTGTAATGTATTTCGATATTGTTGACTGTCACTCTCTTTTTCCTTTCCCTCCTCTGAGTTCCATGGGGTAGTTACACTATTACAAACATGTTCTGCATATAAATTTGAATGTGATTATGTTTGGTTTTGTGTGTATGTTTAATTTTTTGGAACTGTCTTCCACATAAGAGAGAAAACATATGCCTTTCTGAACCTGGTTTACTTCACTTAACATGATGTCTTCCAGTTGTATCCATTTATCTTCAAACCATGTGGTTTCATTCTTCCTTATGGCTGAATAAAACTCCTTGTGTGTGTGTGTG